TCGCGTCTACTGGCGCACCGGCATGCTCGCCCAGATGGGCCAGTACGTTGCATTTCCCACATTTCTCTTCAATCGCCCGTGCATTCTTTTCATACCTTCAGAACTGACCACACGACACACACACGCGCACACGACACCTCACGTCACGCACAGGGAGAGGATTCTGTTGGAGCTGCAGCCGGAGATCGGTGCGCTCAACATCATGGTGCGCACGGAGCTGCGCGGCGAGCAGCTCTCGAGCCTGTCGTGGCTGGTCTTCGCCGCGGTCGACACGCTGGTCCGGGACTGGTACAACCTCAACGTGACCACGCTCGTGCCGTGCACGCACTGCCTGTCGCTCGACAGCCCCACGCCCTTCATGTTCCCGCTCGAGAAGTGTCAGCAGGCCGCCGCCTCGCCCAACACCTCCTTTCTCCACTGCCCCAACGGTAACGTTCATGCTCGCTCGCGCGCGTCGCGCTTCAATTCCTGACACTCACCGTGTCGTGCGTGTCGCGTCTGGCGCGCAGGTGCGGAGAATGCGGAGCCGAAGCCGGTCCGCTTGGACTTGCTGGCGCCTGACTTGGCGATGGTCCACCTGGGCAGCCACAAGATCAAAATGTGCGATCTCCACAAGGACGAGATCCCAATCGGCGAAGGTGCGACACGCACACACACGCACACGCTCACCATTGAGAGAAAGGTTGCTGAGCCTTTGAGTGTGTGCGGGTGCGTGCAGGCGGCTATGCGGTGGTGTACAAGGGCGTGTGGCACGGGCAGGCGGTGGCGATCAAAGAGCTGAAGCCTGCCGCCGTGTCGCCCTTCGAGGGCGACGACGAAGATCGGGACTCACAGCGCAAGGCATTCGAGGAATTCCGCCACGAGGTGTGGATTATGAGGTGCGCTTCCTACCCATGCCCACCGCACACACGACGCGACACGACGCCACCACCGCACACGCACCACCGCACACACACGCGTTTGACCATTACCATTACAGTGGCCTATCACACCCGAACCTGGTGGGGCTCAAGGGATTCTGTCTGCGGCCGGCGTGCATCGTGACGGAGCTGGTGGAGGCCGGCTCGCTCTACGACTTTTTGGCCGACGACGCCAAGAGCGCCAACCTCCAGTGGCCCCTGCGCCTCAAAATCGCCAAGGACATCGGTAACGTGTCGTGCGTGTGTGTGTCGTGCGTGTTGCGTGTCGTGCGTGTCGTGTCATACGCATACTAATCGTTTGCGCACGAACACACAGCCAAGGGATGCGCCTTCCTGCACAACGCCAGTCCTCCCGTCATGCACCGCGATCTGAAATCGCCCAACATTTTGTTGGCCTCCATCTCCCCCGACGCCGACCTGGTGGCCAAGGTGTGCGACTTTGGCGTCTCCCTCAACAGCGCCCAACGCACCGCCGGACGCATCGTCGACTGCCCTCGTACGCTCCTTGTCCCCCCCCCCCGAACTTCGCTTTGTTCTTTGTTCTTCTCACTAACATAATTCGTTCTTCTTTTCCTCTCGTTTTCTTTCTTCGTTCTTTGGGCGGCAGTGTGGCTGGCCCCGGAGGTGTTGCAGAATAAGCCCTACACGGAGAAGGCCGACGTGTACTCGGTGGGCGTCATCCTGTGGGAGCTCTTCACCCGCCAGAAGTTCTTCGGCGAGGTTAGCTTCATGTCGCTCGTCGAGGACAAGGTCATCGGCGGCGAGCGCCCGCCCATCCCCGCTTCGTGCCCGCCCTCCTATCGCAACCTCATCGAGGCCTGCTGGGCTCAAGATCCCGGTACGAGACACGACACGACACGACACGACCAACGACACGACACGACACGGTGGCATAGCTCACATGCCAATGGCACACGGCGCAGATCTCCGGCCGTCGTTCGATGCGGTGGTGAAGATGATCGAGGCGATGATCCTCGAGCTGTGCCCGCAGATCGCCGACTACGACGCCGACGTGGAGCGAAAGTACCGCGAGGAGCAGGAACGCCGCCGCAAGGAACGCGAGCTCGAGGAGGAGCAGCGTCGCCAGGAGAAGGAGGAGAAGAAACGCAACAAGTACGCGTGTCGTGTCGTGTCGTGCCGTTGGTCGTGTCGTGTCGTGCGACCGTGCGTGTGCTGTTGGCTGATACATAAGGGGTTGGCGCAGGCTCGCGCTGACAAAGAGCCACCCGCGGCTGTTGGCCACCAACTCCAAGAAGGCGCTCCTGACCGACGTACGCTCTCACCTCGCCTCCCATGACAACGCTGGGCGTTCGAAGCGCTAAATTGTGTCGTGCCGTGTGTTGTGTGTGCCATGCGCGATGTGTGCAGTCGATCAAGAAGCACATCCTAATGAGCGAGGCCACGGCGTGCACGAAGGGCGAGATCACGGAGTGGATGGAGGAGTTCATGAAGCAGCGCGCCCACACCCTCTCGGCCTCGCAGGGCGGCCCCGCGGCCGACGACGACGACGGCGACGAGGCCGACGGCGACGGTGGCGGTGAAGCGGAGGAGGAGGCGGAAGCGCTCACGCCCCGCCGGAGGGAGAAGAAGCACAGCAAAGCTGCGAACAACAAGAAGACGAAGAAGCGGAAAACGAAGAAGGACGACCAGCAGCAGCAGCACACGATCGTCGTTACGGCCGTGACCAGCGACGGCGATGGCGGGCAGCCGCAGCCGCAGCCGCAGCCGAGCGTCGACAAGAAGTCGCCGCGCGACCAACACCACAAGGCCAAGAGCAAGCACGGCAAGGACAACAAGGACAACAGTACGGGCGAGCTGCTGTCGAGCGGCCTCTTCGTGGGCGAGGGCGACTCAGACGAGAGCGAGTCGGCGGGCTCGCCGTCGACGTCGTCACCGTCATCGTCGTTTTCGTCGACCCTGTCCAAGACCAAGGGCACCATGCTGCGCGGCATCCTGCGCAGCGGCCGCGCGCTTCGCGCCAAGCGAACTCGAAGCCAGGTGGGCTCCGAGAACGACGACGACGACGAAGACGATGACGCGGCCGAGGCCGAGACCGACAACGCTCATGTCGACGGCGACGATGGCGATGACGATCAGCCCAAACCGGCTGAGGTTGAAGAAGAAGCCGAAGAAGAAGAAGAGAAGGCCGATGGCCGGACCCGGGCACGGCGGTACCGTCAGCGACAGGGCCGGGTCCGTATGGGCTCGTCGCCGCCCGCGCCGGCCTGCTTCCTCGAGCCCACGGCCGCAGCGGGTGGTCAGGCGCAGCCGGCCGACCAGGTCGCTGGTGGCGGCGGCAGCGGCGGGCCACCGACGTCGCCACTGGGCAAGCGGCGCACGCTGACGCCCCTGACGCCCAAGAAGAAGTCAGCCGAGAAGGTGGCCACGCTGTGGACCCGGACCAAGGCCAAGACGGAGGGCGAGGTGACCCGCAAGGCCTTCCTCAACACCATCCACCACATGAAGGCCGCGTCGACGCCCGGTGGTGGTGGTGGTGGTGGTGGTGGGGCGACGGTGGGCCGCCAAGCACCACGACACGCCCGCCGCAACCGTTCTTATCACGGCACACGCCCACCACGGCCACAACCGCTACGCGAGTAGCGGCCGAAGCCCCAAAGACAGCGCGAGAGGAGGCGGAGAAGAGCGAGAAGAGCCAGATGGCGGACCTGCAGGACATGCACAAGAAGCTCGAGGACGAGGTGGAGGCCCTCACCAAGGCCCTGCTCAGCGAGTAGCAGCCCACAACCGACAATTTTGAACATATTTGTTTATTTAATTATTCCTAATTTTATTTGAACGTGCAACAGACACCGAGTGGCATGTGGTGTGGCATGTGCCCTTTGCCTTGGTGAACGCTGGGGGCTTAGTGCTCTACTTCTCACTTGCAACAGCAGCAGCACGTCTTCCTGATCTTGCGGAAACACTTGAAGAGCTTCCACCGCATCGACATGGGCAGGCACGAACAGAACTTGTTCATCTTCTTCGCCTTCTTCAGATCCGCCATGTCGTCCATTTTTGTTGGGTGGGTTGTGTGCGGTGCGGCTACTTTCCTGCTCGTGCGGTGAAGACAAACGCCGGCCGCCGGAGCATGAGAGATGCTCAGTGAGGGTCGTACAAGGTGGGGCCAAGGTACCTTTGGGGGACTTCCGGAGCAGCTTGCTTGAGTTTGAGCGGCGTACGTCGAGGCGAAGAACAAAAAACCGCCAGCCCCGCAACTGGGCGCCTGGACACGGACAGTGAACAGGAAAACGTTTTTTCCCGTTTTATTTTTTACAATTTGTGAACTCGATAAATAAATAAATAAATAAATGACTACTGCGGTCTGGCGCCTGCGGTCAGGGGGGGGGCGTGAGACAAGTGAATGAAGAAAGAAAGGGAGGGTGAGAGAGACTACCACAGGTTGATTGTTGGTCAGGAGGAACGGAAACAGCAGGAGCACTTCTTCCTAAACTTGCGGAAGCACTTGAATAGCTTCCACCGCTGCTTCAAGGAGAGGCAGCTGAGGGCCTTGTTGGCCTTGTGCGCCCTCTTCACATCCTTCCTCGAGATCCTCCGCCCCATGCTCGCATCCAACAATGTGGCCAAGTGTATTGCCCCCCCCCGCAACGGAGAGAGTTGCGCTGGTGGCGCAGGCAACGAAATTGCAACTACAGTTCACACTGTCACGATTGGTCGAAAAGCAGTTTTTAAAGTGTCGGTTTTCACCAGGCTTCGGGGCGTCTTTTTTGCCCAACATTTCTCTCTTGTGGTGGGTGAGTTCTGCAGGAAGGAGACCAAGCCCAGCAAGGGCGGAGCGTACTAAACCTGATCGAAACAGTTCTTGGGCGGGTTTCCGTTCCAATTGCTCCAGGCTTGCTGGCCTCCGCTGATGGTGCTACAGTATAAAAACAGGGCCACGCCACACTTGCAGTTCATCAATCATCCCTCCACAGCGACCAAGTAACCCACAGCCTCAGGCCCTTTACACCACCAGCTTATAGCCACACGATGTACTCTATCGCCCCGCCTTGACACCTTGACACTGAAGCACATGTTGATCGATGATGTTGTGGGCTCACCTTCATCATTCACATTGACAGGAAGTTCCTCGTCGCTACTTTGTTCGCCTTCTTCTGCCTCTTCGCCGTGGCCCTGGCTGATGGTGAGGATTCCACGACGGTGGTGAGCTCCACCAGCGTGGTGCAGGGCGTCAACGTGGCCGCCTCGCCCGTGGTGGTCCCAGCCGGCTCCACCACGATTCTGACCGCCGACAACGATGGCAACGACGGCCTCTACAACGCCGACAGCGTCGTCTTCCTGCTCGAGGTCTCCGCTGCTGGCTCGCTCTCCCCCTTCAAGTTCTTCTAGAGCTGCTGCACTGGGCATCATAGATATGACCAACCCAGAACTGGAACCGGTTTCTTTTTCCTTTATCCCCCATACAAGAGCATGTGAACAAGCATCAGTTGACGAGATAAACTACACACTTCCGAACCATTGCTGCCTTGTTTCGGTTGGCTTCGTGAGGCACCCTGGCCCACCGCCAAAGTTGTGGCCGCGGTGGACCTGCCGAAATTTCGCAGGCACCACCGACCAGCGAGTTGTTGTGCGTGGGTCCAGTTAAAAATCTCATTACGCCTACTTCGCCCCACAGTAAACGTACTCCTCTCATCCCTTCACGCTGCGATTGAGGCGTGGCGAATCGCTGTTGCTTATCGTTCGCTTCTTTCTTTCATTGCATCATCAGAATGGCCAATCCTCGCGTTTTCTTCGATATCACCATCGGTGGCGAAGCTGCCGGCCGTGTGACCATGGAGCTCTTCGCTGATGTCGTCCCCAAGAGTGCGATCCTTGCGTCCCCTTCGTCGTCTGTCCGTTCAATTGACTCTGCCCCTCTTTTCTTTTCAACAGCTGCTGAGAACTTCAGGGCTCTCTGCACTGGTGAGAAGGGCGTTGGTCGCTCGGGCAAGCCCCTCCACTTCAAGGGCTGCGCCTTCCACCGCGTCATCAAGGTACATTGTCGGTCGAAGCTGCAATAATCGCGAGTATAACTTGAGGAGATCCTCAAAAAGAAGTGGTTGTACTCGCGATTATTTCTTTGTAGAGGCTCATCTCAATTTCGTTTTCTTCAGGACTTCATGATCCAGGGTGGCGACTTCACCGCGGGTAACGGTACTGGCGGCGAGTCCATCTACGTACGTCACTTTACTCTTGGCTTCTATCTACTGCACAAATTAACCGGTTTCACATTTTACATTTGTTTTTGTGCGCAGGGTGGTGAGTTCAGGGATGAGAACTTCAAGCTGAAGCACACTGGCCCTGGCATCCTCAGCATGGGTACAGTTACCACTTCGCCGCCTCTACACGCTTTCTCAATCCTGGCATCCGCGCTGACCTCGGGCTTGCTCATTGCGCAGCCAACGCTGGTCCCAACACCAACGGCAGCCAGTTCTTCATCTGCACCGTTAAGACCACTTGGCTCGACAACAAGCACGTCGTGGTACGGAACGACCCACCCACCTTTCCTTCGCTCATCTTGGGGCGCTTTAACGATCGGCCTCACTAATCACGACCGTCCCTTTGTGAATGAACAAACCAGTTCGGCAAGGTTGTTGACGGCATGGACGTGAGTGCGTTCCTCCCACCTCTTTCAGCATCAGCCAATTTTTGTCTCTGTTTGTTGTTGGCTCTAACCCATCGCCTCCCGCTTCCCCTTCCTCAATTCAGTCAGGAAGGTCGAGTCGCAGACCGTTGACGCTGATGACGCCCCCAGGAAGAAGTGCGTCATCGCCGACTGCGGCCAGCTCTAAGCGCTTCGTCGTTCGCACCTTCAGCCCGCACACACCCTGCTGTGTCAGCCCACCAATGGCGTGTCCCACTTGCTTGTCATCATCGCATAAACTTGGTGCAACGCCAACTTCATCAGCACGCGGCCCTCTAGTTTGTACAGAATGAATGTGGTCTTCGTTGGGCGGTGCTTGGTTGGTTGCAGCGCCAGCTACAGCTGGTCGACGAGGGAGAAAGGTGGTGGGACGAGGAGCAGGTGGGCGATGTCGTGTAGGCCGGTCCGTCGTGCCACCATGCGCGGCGTCTCGCCCTGGTCGTTGGGGATCTCGTTGCGTGCGCCGTAAGCCAGGAGCAGAGACACCATCCGCGTATCGCCACTGAGAACCGCTGCAACGAACGAACAACACCGGCATCCAACAACAACAACAACAAGAACCATTGAAGTTTGGCCGGTCAACGTGCAGCCGAAAGAGAGCGGGGTGAAAATGAAATTGGGGTGAGGCAGGTGCGGTACCGAGAAAGAGAGGAGTGGCGCCGTCGTTCTTTTGGATATTTACACTGCTGCCCCGTTGCAGCAGGAGCTCGACGATGCCGAAGTAGCCCTCCTGCACGGCCCACATAAGAGCGGTCTCTCCGCTCTTGCCTCGCGCGTCCTTCTCTGCAAAAGAAGCAATCCAGTTCTCTAGTGAGTGCAGAATCGAGAGACGTCAAGACCATTGAGTGAGTGATTGACGGCCGTAGGGTCGTACCGGCGCCGTAGGAGAGAAGGAACTCGACGATGTCCTTGTGCCCTCGCTCACAGCTGGCCATCAGCGCTGTGCTCCCATCCGCGCCCACGCCCGCCGCATTCACCATGTTGACGCTCATCGGCAGTTCTGACCCGCCTGCCAGGCACAGAGAGAGAGAGAGAGAGAGCTTCAGCACGCGCGCACACGCACACACACAACCACACGCACACAGAGAGATCGGCACCTTGCTCCTCGCACTCCTTGGCGTTGTGGAAGAGGAGGAGCTCCTTCACGACGTCGAGGTGGCCCTCGAAGCAGGCCACGTAGAGGGGCAGCACGTCGTCTCGCGTTGATCGAAGGTTGGGATCGGCGCCCTTGTCCATGAGCAGCCGCACCACGCTAGCCGCGCCCACCTGCGCCGCGATGAACAGGGCCGTCACGTCGTTGTGGTTCTTCGCATCCACCTCGGCCCCGTTGGCCAGGAGAAACGCGGCAAACTCTTCGTGACCGCCCTCGGCGGCGTAGAACAATGGCGGCGACATGCTGCGGGCAAGAACGGTGAATGATGAATCATGAGCATTATTTTTATTCATTAATGATTTAGGCTTGTACCTGTCCGTGCAGTTGGCGTTGAATTGGAGGCGCTGTTCCGAAGAGCGTCGATGCATCACGATGTGTTCTTCCAGTCCTTTGAGATCCCCGGTTTTCGCGTAGTGCAGCAAAATCTCATCCGATATCTGGTACATGTCGCCCTGCTCTTGCTCGATTCTGGCCTCGTCTCCTTCCTCCTCGCTTTCCTCACCTTCTGCTGTTCGACGAGAATGTGCGTTCGATTTGATATCTCCCTTTTCATCTCGGCTGATTATTCTTTTCTTCAACGACCTGATGCCCAGCGTAGTGCCGGGCCTGTGCTCCATATCAACGATGAACGCAAGGCCAGATCGCCAGGAGGCCGTACCCTCCATGCTACTGGACCACAAATCCATCTCGCGCTACGTGCTCTACGCAACCGCCTGCGTTTGTGATTGTTGCTGCACCAGGCGAAGCGCTCTTTGCCTGCTGTTCTGAATCTTTCGTGGAAATGTCGACACTCTTTGGCGCCAAGTGGCCCAGCACCAGGAGGCCTTTGGTTTCCAGCTCTCTGGCAGCAGGGATACAACAGCTCAACAGCGTTCACCAAAGAAAGCCAGAAGATGGTGCATCATCTTCACACCCTGTGTTGTGGCCTGCCCTGGACGAGCCAATGGGCGCTACCCATAATTTAATATTTTCTTCTTGTGTTTCCTGCCTTTTCTCAAATCTCCGGAGTCGCACTGCCGGGAGAGTACCGTTGCCGCCTTCTTGTGCAGCGGGCCGCTTTCAAATCAAATCTAGGGACACACTTCCCTGGGCCTCCTTCTTCGTTGGGCAAGAAGGTACTTTGGCTTTCCTTCTCCCTCTCCGGTTTTGGATTCTCTCTCCAAATTAGCGGGCAGCCAACTTCCTGCAGGGAAGTAGGTTTTGCTCTCGTCATCCTTGTGCTTGTCTGGTCGGATTTGCCTGGCACACAACAATGGCCTCCTGGCACCTAGCGGGCGTGGATGCGAGCGTGGGCTCCTCCTTCTGGACTCATGGCACAAAGCAAAGGGAGCCAAGATTGTTCTTTTGTGTGAAAATCTTGCCCTTCCGTTGTGACGCATCCGCATCTTCTTGTCGTTCATCTTCTACTCCTTCTTCGACACGTTTCTCTCTCACTTTTGGCCGTTCCTTTTGCTCTGTGCTCCTATGTGCCGCGGACAGATCCTTCCTCACCTCCTCCCTCTGCCCCCTTCTTGGCTTCTGCAGAGTAGACGAGCTGCTCAGCAGAGAGCAGTAGCAAGCGCGATATGGCGTCCACCACCTCGATGAGCAGCGTCACCAGCACGGGCAGTGCCCCACCTCATGAGCCATTGCAGCCGCTACTCGCAGCTTCTTCTTCCTCCTCCTCCTCCTCTACTTCTACAACCACCACTACTTTGTCGACTGGCTCTACGTCGTCATCTACGTCTTCGTCGCCCCTCCTACACAGCGCCACCGAAGCCACCCACTCCGGGTCTACGTCGAGGCGTCACCGTCTCCTTCATCCTCTTCAACCGCCGCCGCCTCCTCCTCCTCGTCGTCGTCGATTCACTTCAACTCGAGCTCGTCCGAGGATGACGAAAGCAGCAGCTCGGCCCACGGCAGCCCGTTCGTATCATCGTCATCGCGCGGCGGCTCGCAGTCGCTCAGCTCGTCGGCGCCCTCGTCCACCACCACGCTCTTCGTGCCCGCCGCCTCGCCCTCCTCCTTTGGCGCTTCGGCCCCCGTCGCCGCCGCACTGGCCGCCTCCCTGGGCCTCGCCAACGCCGGCAGCAGCGGCGGCGGCGGAGGCCTGGGTTCGCCCTCGGCGGCCACAGCGGCGGCGGCGGCCGCTGCAGCGTACATGGCGTCGCCGACGGGCCACCTGCTGTCGCGGTCGATGTCGGCCTCGAAGCTGCACCAGGTGATGAAGAAGAAGAAGGCCAACGTGCGGTACAAGGACCACTGCGACAACTGCCTGACCGACCAGACGCCCCAGTGGCGCAAGGGCCGGCGCGGCGAGACCTTTTGCCAGGACTGCGGCCGCTCCGAGAGGCGACACGACTACGCCCGCCTCAAACGGTTCGCTTACACACGAGATCGAGATGAACATGTGTGTGTCGTGTGTCGTGTGTCGCGTGCTGACGTGTGATGACGTACGTATGATAGGGAGAGGGAGAAGGCGATCGAGAAGACGTTGATCGACTTGCTGGAGAACAGCGTGTACGTGCCCCGGTGGGGCCAGGCCGGCGCGGCGCCAGCCCGCCAGCAGCAGCAGCCACAACAGTCGACCGAGGGAGAGCGCGATGATGACCGCGACGCAGAGGAGGAGGAGCAGAGCGCAGAGAGCAGTCTCAAGTCGGCGGCCAATATGAGCGAGGCCATGGTCGAGCCGACGCCAGCGGGCGATGACATCCGCGAGAACGGCGGCCACAACGAGATGGACCGCGACGGCGACTCGGACGGCCATCAAGCCTCCGCCGGCGCCGACAGCGGCAGCATCGTCGGAAAGAGAAAGAATGTGGAAGACGACGGCGATGATGAGAAGAAGAAGAACGACGAGCACCAGGCAACGTCGGTGGTGGTGGAAGATGGCGGAGGCGCGGCGATGGAATGCGCTAGCGGCGTTGAGGAAGCGTCGCCTGCAGCGCTGGTCGCAGAAGATGGGAAGGCCGAGGCTGAAGAACAGGGGTCGCCGGCGACCAAGCGGCGGCGGTTACCGAACGCGCCAGCGGGGCAGCCCTCGCCCGTCCGGCTGGCCAAGCGCCGAACATCGCCTGCAGCCACCACCACCCAGGCCCACGGCGCTGGTGCGGTGGTGGGCAGCGAGAACAACGGAACGACGACGCCGGCTCTCGCCGCAGCGATGACACAAAACAACATCGACGCCAACAGCGACGGCGACGAGCTCGCCGCCGCGGTGGAGAGCGTTGCGGCAGCCCCTGCGCCCGTGCCGGTGGAGAACATGGACGGGTGAATGAGCGAACGGTGGAAAAGAAGAAAGAAGCGAGCGGAGCGCACGACCGGGTGGCTCGAGGAGGTGTGGATGGTCAGCTGCTGCCATCACCAGGTGTGCTGTAAAGTAAGAGAGAAATAAAAACACAACATATAATTCCGTATGACCGGCACATGACCTTCCCTGGCTTCCCCGGTGGCGGGTAACCGATGACCTTGGTTCGGCCAGGTTTTATAAAAAGCCCCCCAATGAGAAAGCAGGTGTTGATTGCTGAGATGTGCCCAATGCGTGGTTGTTGTTCAACTTACTTAGTTCACTAGGTCATGCTACTATTCCACCCGGGTAGCACAAAGAGGCAACCCTACGGGTCTTTCCGCCACTTCAACCTCACCCGGCCTCCTTTCTTCTTGCTCGCCTCGAGAGACTCCAGGGTGTGGAAGGTGAAGCAGCCCTGCCTGTCTCGCCACGTAGCCTGGCGCTCGTTGCCTTCACCACCCGCCGTCGGCTCTTCGTTCTTCTCCTTCTTGTAGTTGTCGCTTTCGCTCTTTGCCTGCTGGCCGGCGTAGCTCGGAGGGCTTCGCTGCTCGGGGAGCGGTTGGCGGTCGTCCCAACGCGTCGCTGTCGGTGTCGTCAGCGAGCGGCGCCTCCTTCTCTCGGCGGCCAGGGCGAGCTTGTCCGTCTCGTCCCTGAAGACGAAGCCCGGTGGTTGAGCAGAAGTGGAAGATGAAGGAGATGAAGGAGAAGGCTCGATGGGAGGAAAGCGCGTAGACGAAGAAGCGAGATGTTGTGGTTGTGTGGGCAGTAGATCAGAAGATGATGCGATGGACGTAGAAGTCGTGGTCGACGACATGCTGATCGCGGGTAGAAGGTGTGGGTAGGGATGTTGCGGCTGCTGTTGGTCTGGTTGAGGGCGCGAGTACCAGGCCGCCAGGGAGAGGTAGTAGTGTAGGACCGCCGCATCGTAGTAGCTCGTCTGCGGTGCCAGGGAAGAGGAAGATGGTGCAGAAGGAGGCGAGGGGGTGAAGATGGTCGGTGTAGCGGCCATCGTGGGAAGAAGAGGGTGCGACGAGGGGTGTTGGAAGGGGGCGGAGGGAAGAAGTAGCGAGGGCAGAGATGGAAGTCGCGAAGGTGATGCAGGCACTGGACGGCTCATGGGCGACGCCTTGCCCCTAGGCTCTGTCGCGTGTCGTGCTAGTACGTCTTCTTCTTCTTGCTCTGCGCGGTCTCGCGTTTCACCTAGTAGTTGGGCGGGCTCTTCTTCGACCTTGACGCGCTTGGCCCTCGACCGTCCAGCTCTCGTCCTGGTAGCTGGAGCTGCAGCTCGATCGCCCTCATCTTGTTGATGAAGGTGGTCCCGAGGGCCTCCCAGGTCGGTTTCGAGCTTTACGTTTACTCGCCTGCTGGTCCTTTTTCGGTCATGAGGAAGAGGCCGATGACGCGACGTCAGGTCCTGGGGTACGCCGTGGTTGGTCCAGCTCTCGGCCGTAGATGATGATGACGATGGTGAGGATGTTGAGGAAGATGCATCATCATCCTCTTCGTCTTCCTCCCAGGGTCGGTGGTGTCGTCGCAGGGGTCGACGTAGCGCAGGTTTGATCTGTACAGAACTCCTCGAGGGTGGTGATGATCGCGAGTGAGCGATGCTGGCCAGGGCGAGCGACGTGAGGCCTGAATCTTCGACGACACCCGCGGTCATGTGGTGATGGCTCATCTTTGCAGGCGGTGGGTGAAGTAGAAAAGCGAAAGAGATGCTGAGAGAGACTATAAAAATAAAAAACAAGTTGCTGGTGGAGAGGAGAGAGAGAGAGAGAGAGTAATTCCTCTGGTCCGGAAACGAACAACCAAGGGACCACAAGAGGGGAGGACATGAAGAACAGCGCCCTCGCCCCCTCGGGTGTAGAGAGCGGAGCCATCGGCTCGCGAGGGCGAATCGGAGCAAAGTCTTCAATCTCTCCGCAACTTATAAGCAAGTGTGCCAACATCGCCATCAACTGCCACCGCCAACCAGAGAAGACCAGCTCGCGCCACTGCGAACCGGGAAAGGGCAAGAAGAAATAGGACGGGAATGCCGCTCTCGATTTGCATCACGTGTTTCCGGCTGACTGTTGCGCAGAGTGGGGAGCTGTGCTCGGCGTGTTTAAAGTGCCCGAGTGAGGTTAACGCTGTTGATGTTGTTGTATTTTATATGTACACAATATACTGTGTAGCGCTACTGGATGTTGTGTGCTTGGTTGATGTTGTAATTACAGAGGTGGCTGCACCCGTCGAATAAATAAGGTCTGTGCTGCGGAAAGGCGGAAGCCGGCGCAGAGCACCCCGTCGCAAGCGACGAAGTCGAAGGAGGAAGAAGGAGAGATGTCGGGACGGTGATGTGGCTAGGAGAGGATGCAGTTCTCGGGCAGCGCTGGTGGTCGCTGCTGTTGCTGTTGCTGTTGCTGTTGCTGTGGGCCGCCGTACTGGAAGCCTCCGCCCGTTGACGTTCCACTCGCAGGCGCTTGTCCTCTGCCGAAGCCGCCCATCGCCCCGCCACCCAGCCCTTGCATTCCTCCGCCGCCCGTCGCCACGCCGCCCATCATTCCTCCGCCCATTCCTTGCATTCCTTGCATGCCGCCGCCGCCGCCCATGGTGCCGCCAGAGAGTCCTCGAAGGGCGGTGAGAGGTGGTGGCTGCTGCTGTGGTGGTGGCGGCGGGAAGAAGGTCGGCTGGGTGTTGTAGGAGAAGCCAAAGTAGATTCGCAGGATGTCGAGGATCCGCGCGAATCGCCTCGTCGTCGACGTCATCTCGAGCAACTCTTGCTTGATATCTGTGTTGACGGGGAGGATCGTGGACATCCAGTACGAGAACTGGAGGTCGTCGGTGGGCATGTCGCCAGCCTGGGTGAGCAGCTTCTTGATCTGCTCGTTCGTCTCGCAAATGCCAGAGGCCAGGAGGCCGTTCATCAATCCCCTGCAATAACATGAAGAAGGAGAAGGCACCGGTGAGAAGTAGTCCTTAACGGAGGCAGTGTGTTTGCGTGGCGATGATAAAACAATGACGATGATGATGCACGTAAAGTGTAAAAGCTAATTTATTGCCTGCGGGCATGTGAAACTGATAGAAGGAACGTATTTACAAGAAAGAGAGCTGTACAGTTTGTGGATAGAGAGAGGAAAGAATGAAAATAATAATGATGGAGAGATAGAGAGAATCTAATTACTGATCATAAGGAAAGTGCAGCGCATCATCATCACCATCGCCATCATCACCGGAAACGGGACTAAACCAAACAAGCGGAACAACATAATCAACACACACGAACGCAGAGTGCGGGGTAGGGTGTGGGTGGAGAGTTGTCTTCGTACCTGGTCTCTTGCACTTGTCGGCGGAAGATCTCAGCTTCCTCTTCCCGCATGTTCTCGTCGTCGATGTACTGAATCTTGCCCACCAGGTAGCCGTCCATCTCCCACTTCTCCAGCACCCGGAAGCGCCGCTTGCATCGAGTGTCGATGTAGCTTCGCCCGTCCGGCAAACTGTGTCGCAGCAAGAGAGAAGAGAGAGAGAGAGTTGAAGGTTAGACCACGCCTCCTCCCGCTCCGGAGAAAGAGAAGAAGAAGAAGAAGGGGGAAAGAAGGTCGTACATGTTGATCTTGTTGATCTCGAGCGTGCAACCCACGTCGTAGGGCACCCACGACGAGCCGGAGCTGTCTCGTCGGATGTTGATGAGGCCGAAGGTCTTGGCCCCAGCCATGCACCGTCGGAGCATGAGCCGGTAGCGGGCCTCGAAGATGTGCATTGGGAAGCGCATGCCCGGGTAGACGACCGCGTTGAGCGGGAAGAGCGGCATGCAGGTCTCGTCCTGGATGAGCTCCTTCTGCGCTTCCTCCTCGCGTTGGCGGTACTCGTCGGGGAAGAGCCGCTTGATGATGTTCTTGAGCGTCACGGTGGCCGGGTGGTTCGACGACAGGTGGACCACGCCGCGGCACAGCGGGCACTGCGTGCCGTGGTCCATGGCACGGAAGAGGCAGCTGCGGCAGAAGGTGTGCCCGCACGGGGTGGTGACCGGGTCGTAGAAGACCTTCAGGCACAGAACGCACTCGAAGTCTTCGGAGAGGGTCACTAGTACGTATGGAAGCAAGAGGAATGTTAATATTTAGAAAGATACACATGTGTGTAGCTCTTACGACATCTGTCTGACAGGTCCGCGAGCATCGGTAACGAGGACGAAATCAAGAGGAATTCCGTACCTTCTTTTTCAGAGCGTTTTCGCGGCTCCTCTTCCTCCATCAAGCCGCTCGAGTCTCCGTGGTGCAGAGATGTGTCTTTCTCCTGGAGAATGCTCTGTAGCGTGGCGATGTGACGCTTTACCTCTTCGTCGTGGGGCTCCATCGAGTTGGCGATTTCGTAGGCTTCGAGCGCTACAATAATGAAAGGATGAGCCAAAGCTAAATCGAAACACCATGCAATGGGGCAGGCGTACCTCTTCCGATCTCACCCATGCACCAAAGCACATAGGCTTTGCGCGAATAGGCGGGAGTCCAATTTGGTGCGAGAGTTGTGACTAAATGTGCATCATTGAGAGCCTCTTCGAATCTGGTGGGAGAGGCAATGTGAGTCATGGCGCCTTCGCATTGTTGCAATCCCGGTTAATGATACCTTTTGAGGGAGACCAGAGCGGCTGATCTATTGTAGTAGGCGGTATGATGGCTGGGGATCAATTTGAGTACCTCGCTGAAATGATGTACGGCCATGAGGTACTCTCGCGCTTCGTAGGCATCGTTGCCGCGCTTGAGGAGCTCATCGGCCATAATCTCGGTGGGAGACTGCAAGGGACCCGCAGAGTTAGATGGTGACCTCGAATTAACGAGGTAATTCAAAAGTAGAAGAACCCCGGAAATGTGTATGACCGTACCTTCGTCTCCATAATTATGATCGAAGAGGTAAGAGAGTGGAGAGAGAAGCGGCAAAGATGGAGAAGATGAACAGAGGGCTTTTATGGCCGCCGGAGAGCACGATAGCATTCACTAACGAGTACGCAAATCTATTTTCTTTTTATTCGACCTGCGCGAAGGCACCATCATCGCCCTTAGCAAGAAACTACGCACCGCTACGCAATGATCGCATCAAACGGACTTCGCCAATAGAGAATCAAAGATGATGGCAGCTCTCGGTATTTATTTCCTTATAAGAAGTGTTTCGTTACTTTCGTTGCCAGGGCCGACTGGCGACACTTTTCGCTCGGACCGCTCTGCAGCGCCGTCAAAATCTGCAGGCTCCCCAGCTAAAAAGCTGTCGACAGCACTTGTTCCGCGGGTCCGTCAGGGAATTGAAAATGACCTAAAGACGAGATAACTACACGGCAGCGAAAAGCGAGATGACTACAAGCACCATCATCGGGCACATAAATGCGCAGTGTTACCTACACGCTGACTCAGACAGCAAAATCGGCAGACAATCCAGTCGTTGTTGAAATGTGTGAACTATAGTGGTGCCTGCCCTTGCTTCGGTCGCCTGTCACGCTCTCCTCACGGCTCCGTCGTTCTTGCGGGTGGCGGCGTCGTTCTCGCGCGCTTCTTCGTTGGGTGCCAGTTCAGACACACTCCCGCTATGGGCTAACGTCAAGGCACTCGATCACGCACAGGTTACGGTGCGAGGCCGTATGGTTGTCTCCGGGCATGGCACACCGCGCGAGTGAGCTGTAGTCATCCTGCGTGCGATCTTACATAGCCAGCCGCCACGCACATTCACGGCGATCCGACCATCAACGCAGCTGTTCTATTGTCGTGTTGTGCAAAAAGGCGCGGCTTTGGATTGGCCCACACAACAGGCTTCATTTTTTTTATGTTTTTTTATTTTTTCATCGCGACAACCGTTCCCAAGGCTGGCAAACCACAAAAGATGCGCGCCAGAGCAGGAGTGCGCTCGTCCCTTTCTTCCTCGTGGGCACTCTCCTTCGTTCTTTTTCTTATCCTTGCCGGTACCCATTACAACCAACTGACTTTTATTTTTATTTTTATTTGTATTGCATCGTTATAAGATTTTTAGCAGTATTTTTTGTTAAAATAATAACAACAATAATTGTAATATTAATTCTTGTGCAGGTGCGGCAAGTGGGGCATACGATGTGTTCGGTGGCGGAGGGGTGCTGACCACCAGTCTCTGGGAGGTGTGGAGCGCCGACCACGCCTTCACCACGAGCCCCGTGGCCGTCACCCACACGCCACAGCCCGCCATCGCCGCCCTACAGCTCTTCCTCAGTACCCACACCTCGCTTCGTTCTTTCCCACGAACGCTCTTCGCTCTTGGGGGGGGGACTCACACGCCAGCCGTGTTGCATGCAACCAGGCGGCCAGCTCGACTTTGCGGCGGTGGACGACGCGCTGCCGCCCGCCGTGCTCCAGTCCCAGGTGGCCGGCGCCGGCGGTCAATCCGTGGTGCAGCTGCCGATCGCTGGCAACACGGTGGTCATCGCCTACAACCTGCCCGGCGCAAACGCCACGCTCGTGCGCTTTTTCACTCTCGCCGATTCAACCACACGACACATCAAATTCAAGCTGACCGTGTGTGTCGTGTGTGTCGTGTGTCACAGGTGCTGAACGGGACGGTGCTGGCAGATATCTGGCAGGGCAAGATCGCGATGTGGGACGATGCCGCGCTCATCGAGCTCAACCCCGCCATGAACCTGCCCCACGCCAACATCACCACCGTCTTCGGCACCAACAGCTCCTTCGACGAGACCTCTGTACATCGCCACCGCCTCCGCACACCCTTCCCCCTCTCGACCTCATCTCTTTCCGCATATCACGCGTCGCGCGTCGCGCGTCATGCGTGTTATGTATGGCCTGTCGTGCTGCGTGTGTCGTGTGTCGTGTGCGATGCGCGTTGTGTTGTTCGTTTTTGTGTGGACAGGCGTTTGCTCGGTCGTTGGGGTCGTTCAGCTACGATTTTGCCGCGGCCTTCACGGACATGGAGTCGCTGCCGCCCGTGCTGGAGGGCCGCTCCGTAGGATTCGTCAGCCCACGGCAGCGCGTCGACCACGTCGCCGTACGTTGCAACTCCCGCCACACACGACGTAGCACACGCACCACCGCACACACGCAACACGCAGGAGCGCATCGAAATTATTAACACGAGTTTGTGGCTTCTCGCACAGATCACGCCCTACGCGCTGACCTACGCGCGCGTGGGTCTGCTCGCCAACACGTCGCTGCCCGCCGCTATGATGTGGAATCGCGGCGGCCGTCTCCTCACTGCCACCACCGCCGGCGTACAATCCGGTATACCATCGCGCATGCGTCTCGTGTCGTGTCGTTGTGTGGCGCGCGCGCGCGTTTGATTCGAGGTTCTGATCGTACACACGCGCGCGTGCAGCGATGCTCGACGCGCAGTCGCAGATCGAAGCCGGTAACCTCACGGCCGACCTCTTCAACGGACCCGGTACGACTTTGCTACACCTCGTCAATCGTTATCGTTATCATTATTATCATTATTATCGTCATCATTATTATCATTATTAGAGCTCATTGTCTTGATCATTGTCTTCATTCGATTGATGGCGACGCGCACAGGAGAGGACAGCTGGCCGCTGTCGTACCTCTCCTTCGCGACGTTCTTCGTCGACCGGACCGGCGGAGGTTCGTGCGTGCCCGTCCAGCAGTTCGCGGAATTCCTCCAGTGGGCCTTCTCCAACACGCAGGCCAGCAACGACGCCACCGCCGCCGGCTACGCCCCGCTCCTCCCCTCCTACACCCGGTTCGAGCCCTCAATTCCACCGACACGCACGCACACGCACACGCACACGCACACGCACACGCACACGCACACGCACACGCACACGCACACGCACACGCGTGCTTATGCGGTTTGGGTGCGTGGCGCAGGCGTGTGCTGGGTTCGTTGAACCGGTTCACCTGCAACGGGCTGGCCGTTCTCGATACGGTGGCGCTCTTTGGCCTCGCGGGCACGCCCTACGAGTTCTACTCCCGATGGGCGTTCGTACCCCCCCCCCGGTGGGCGTGTGCGTTCTCCGCTCTCTCAGACTCACCACCGCACACACCGCACGCACGCACCGCCGCACGCACGCACATGCGTCGTAGTGATGACTACGCGCGGGTCAGTGTCGTCGTCGAAGAGATCGACGTGGAGGCCGTGCTCACCGACTCAGTCGCCCTGTCGGGGTTGGGCCACGGCAACGCCGACTTTGCGCTGCTCAGGGGCGACCCGTCCGAGACGACGACGGCCATGGCTGACGGCGAGGGGCGGGTGGTGCTGCCGGTCGCGGCCTTCCCCTACGTGCCGGCCTACACCCTCCCCGACTCCCCCCTGCTCACCTTTGATCTCCCCGCCATCGCCGACATCTACCTCGGCCGCATCCAGGTACGACACGACACGACCAACGACACGACACGACCAACGACACGACACGACCAACGACACGACACACTGTGCGCGTGTGTCTCATCTGCGTGTGTGTGCGTGTGCGACGAGCGCAGAAGTGGAATCACGAGAATTTGAGTCGTCTGAATCCGCTGGTGGTGCTGCCCGACCGCTTCGTGCGGGTGGTGTATCCGGCGTCGGCGTCCGCGTCCGGCGTGGAGACCTCCGCCCTCCACCAGCTCCTCGCCAAGGCCGTCCCACTCTTCAACGCCTCCGTCCGTCTCTCTCCTCCCCTCCTCTCCTCTCTTCTCCGGAAGAAACGCTCATCCGTGTGGTGGTTTGTGTGTCGTGTCGTGTCGTGTCGTGTCGTGTCGTTGGTCGTGTCGTGTCGTGTCGTGTCGTGTCGTGTCGTGTCGTGTCGTGTCGTGTCGTGTCGTGTGTTCAGGTGGCCGACGCATCGTCCATGTACTCGTTCGTGGTCGCACTCAACACCTCGGTGTCCACGTCAGGTAACGCGATGCGAAGAAGAAGAAAAAGAAGAAGAAGTCATGATTGATGCGTGTGTCGCGTGTGTCGTGTCGTGTCGTGTCGCGCGCAGACGTGCCAAACACGCTGAACGGGCTGAACGACGGGTTCGCCGTGTGGCCGGCGGCGGCCCTCAGCCCGCAGATCCAGGCGGGCAACGTCCTCCGCGAGAAGCCCGACGGCGAACAAGTGCTCGTCGAGCTCGATTTCAACGCCCTCCTCACCACCCTCCTCGACTTCGCCCCGCAGCTCGTCGGCGCACCCGGACCCAACTCCACCGGCGGCCTCTACACGCTCGCCCTCGGTACTTACCCGCGCGTGTCGTGCGCGTGTGCGGTGTGCGCGTGTGCGCTCGTGTCGTGTTCCCCGCGGCTTACGGTGAATGTGTTCGCGAAGGCCCCGATGCAACCGGGTGGCCTCTGGTGGGGATGGGCGCGATGGCCTTCCACACCCACCCGACCAATTTCTGCGCGAGCGCGCGTGCCCTGAACGACTTCCTGTGGTGGACCCAAACCGATACCAACGCCTTCGACGACGCTCTCGAGTGCGCTCACCCTCTCTTGGCGTCGTGCGTGCGTACATCGTGGGCCAATGTCACGCTAACACGCGCGTGCGCACACATGCCACACCGCACACCACACACACACACACACACACACACACAGGAACGGGGCGATCGTTGCGGGTGTGCTGCCGCAAGTGCGGCGGGCCATCCTGCGCGCGCTGGCCGAGGCCCGCTGCCAGGGCCAGCCCACGAGCTCGCTCTATCGGTGCATCAACGACGGCGTGCTCTGCTCCAACACGGGCACCTGCACCACCGCCGGGTGCTCCTGCCGCAACGGCTACTCCGTACGCCAAACTGATCGCGCCGCAAACACGTGCCAGTCCATTTCCCTCACCGTGTGTGTGTGTGTGTGTGTGTGTGTGTGTGTGTGTGTGTGTGTGTGTGGTGTCCGTCGTGCCATTTGGCGCAGGGCACCTACTGTGAGGAACCGCCGAGCGCGGATTCGACCGACACAAGCCGTGTGCTCGGCATCGTGCTGGGTACTCGACACACGCTCAATCACCGCACGCTTCAATTAGCACACGACACAACACGCGTGCTGGTGCCATGGTGTGCTGATGTGCCGGCCGAATAATATAATCCGAATAATAATAATAATAATAATGCAGGCACGGTGGCGGTCTGCGTGATGCTGTTGATGCTGGCCGTGGTGGTGCTGGGCGCATCGGTGTACAAGGCGCGCCAGCGACGGCTGGCGGCGGACCACGGCCAGGGCCTCGTGATGGCGGCGCTGAACGAGGAGCCCACGCCCGACGTCGAACTCGACACCATCAAGATCGATGGCATCGCGCAAGTCGAAACCCACCGCTGGAACGGCTAATCCGCGTGGCCCGACACGAACACCACCTTCATGTAGATATATTTCTCTCTCCCTGTGTTACTGCAATAATTTCTCATTCTCTGTGCATGTGTATTTACAAGTTTTTTAAAAAAACAATAGTGTTGTGCGTTTAGAAGAGGGTGCACTTGGAGGACGATCCGTCCTTGTTGTACTTTCGGCCCTTCTTCTTGCCGTCCTTGCCGCCTCGCTTTTCTTCAAGGATGCGTCGCGTGAGGTCTGCGAACACGTCGCTCACCCGCAGGTTCTGCTTGGCCGAGGTCTCGAAGAAGCTGGCCGAGCTGCCCCACTTGTCCACCAGCCGCTGGGCCTCGTCTCGGCTCACCTGGCGGTGGTCGTCGGCATCGCACTTGTTGCCCACCAGCACCATCGGCACCTCGTCCCTGTCCTTGACCTGCAAGATCTGCTGTCGCAGGTCGGGAAGGTCGTTGAAGGTCGATCGCGCGATGATACTGTACACGAGGATGAAACCATCGCCGTTCTTCATGTACAAGTCCCGCATACTGTGTGCATGCGTGTAGAAGACGAAGTCAGCCACAAGGTTTAAGAAGTCAAGATTGCAACGGGTAGAGGAAGAAAAAGATGAAGGGAAGACACGTACGCAGTGAACTGCTCGGTGCCGGCTGTGTCGAGAATCTCGAGCATGACTTGTTGGCCGTCTACTTCGACCTGCCGTCGGTAGCTGTCCTCGATGGTGGGGTCGTACTCGGTCACGAAGGAGTCCTGAACGTAGCGGATGGTGATGCAAGACTTGCCCACACCTCCCGAACCGAGCAACACCAGACGCATGGTTTCCATCTTTGCTTGTGTTGTGTGTGGTGTGTAGTAAAGAGAACTGCTACATGTACAGCACAGCACAGCACAAGTACCTGGTGGGGCTCAACACACGAAAAATAGTTTTGCCGAATGTCGCCCTGTTCGCCTAACCACGCGAACCGTCGGTAACTCCTCGATCGCATACTTCGCATTCCACATCCCGGCACAGCACACCCACATGCTCACACGTCAACCGCCACCTTACTTGTAGGGTTCATTATTGTCGTTCCTCGAATCACCTTCTCCGCTTCGTCGCCACAAGCCTGTACCTGCACAAAGCTCGCGGTGCGCCTCACGCACCAATATTACCGCTAACAACTACTTCTCAATGGCGTCGGTACTGGAAGCGGTGGTGGAGTACGACAATGGGGAGATGATGGAGGCGACGAGGATCAACCCGCGCTCAGTGTCAGGAGCGCCCACGATGGGCGGCCGCAAGGTGAAGAAGCTGGTGCTCACGGCCTCGCTGCCCGGTGGCGGAGGCCGGTACCGGGGCGAGTTCGCGTGGAGCGAGGACACCGAGCGCACGCAGCGCGCCGAAGCCGTGGCCGTGGAGTGGCTGCACAACAAGTGCCACCTCAAGTCCTCGTGCGAGGGCCGCGTACTCAACGCCGACGTCGCCGGCCGCAAGCTGTGCCTCTTCCGCGAGGAGTAGCAGGCTCGTCTCAATTACAACCCATTAGGGTGAATAAATACAAAGTCATTTTACATAAAGAGAATAATTTGTATTTTATTTTATTGTATTTTTTAAACTCTTATTTTAGCTAAAATAAGTGTTGCTGGTGGTGTTCTGCTTTAGAAGAGGACGCAGAACTGCTTGCAGCACGGCGGCACCTTGAAGGCTGACTGGCCGGAGCTCGAGCCGGAGCTGCTGGGCACGGGCGCCAGGTCCTCCCCGTCCTCCACGAACTGGTTCCGGGCCGCCTGCCGCTCGCCCACCTTCCTCCGCTTGGCCTCCTCCGCCTCCTGGGCCTCGGCCGCGGCCGCCTCTCGCTTCTTCTTCTCCTCCGCAGCAGCTGCGGCCGCCTCTTCTTCGGCCTCCCTCCGCTTCCTGTCCTCTTCGGCGGCGGCGGCCTCCTTCTGCTTCCGCTCCTCCTCCTCCTCAGCGGCAGCAGCGGCGGCGGCCTCTTCTTCGGCCTCCTTCTGTTTCCTCTCCGCCTCGGCGGCGGCCTCCTCGGCCTCCTTGCGCGTGCGCTCCTTCTCAGCGGCGGCGGCCTCGGCTTCGGCTTCGAGCCTCTTCCTCTCCTCTTCGGCGGCAGCCTCCTCGGTCTCCTTCTTCCGCTCTTCCTCAGCAGCGGCCTCCTCGGCCTCACGTCGCTTCCTCTCCTCCTCGGCGGCGGCAGCGGCCTCCTCGGCCTCCTTCTGCTTGCGCTCCTCTTCGGCAGCGGCTTCAGCCTCGAGCCTCTTCCTCTCCTCCTCGGCGGCGATAGCGGCGGCCTCTTCAGCCTCCTTGCGCTTACGCT